TCAGCAATGGATGCTCTGCAGTGAATGGGTGCCGTCAGAATGAGAGTCCAAACAGCTGATAAAAACATCACAATAATCCACAAGTAATCCACAGCACTCCAGTCCATCAGTTAACATCTGGAGAAGACAAAAGCTGAAACTAATCCAGCATTAAGACGTTTTTAACTAAAATACATTGAGTGCATAATCCATAATAACTCTTCCTCCAGTGAAAAAGTGTTCTGGTGTGAATCAGGAGAGAAATCTGCACAGATCAAGCAGCGTTTAAACAGCTCTAAACACATATGTGGCTGGATTTTGATGTGAGAGACAACAGGAGATGCACTTTTTCACTGGAGGAAGCGTTATTATGGATTATGGACTCTATGGTATTTTAGTTAAAAACATCTTAATGCTGGATGTGTTTCAGCTTTTGTCTTCTCCAGATGTTAACTGATGGACTGGAGTGCTGTGGATTACTTGTTATTTATTGTGATGTTTTTATCAGCTGTTTGGACTCTCATTCTGACGGCACCCATTCACTGCAGAGCATCCATTGCTGAGACACTGATGCAATGCTACATTTCTACAAATCTGATGAAGAAACAAACACATCTAAGATATATAGAAATGTAGACGTAACATTTTAAGTTTATTACATTGTATATACAAATATTTAATTATATTTGGGACTATACTGAAGTTGTAAAAGTAATCTTGTTAATTGAAATAAAGCCGAAATAAAATGTAAACATTTGATGAACGACCTAAACTTAGAAAAACAAATGAATTTGAATTAAAATGTCAGTAAATATTCTAATAGTATATAATACTAAAATATGGAGTGGGCAGAGCTCGTTTGGCATGATTTGCTCACTGTGAACAAAGCATTGATTAACAGCCTCACAGCTCACATTATATTATATATATTATAATAGTATATATCTTAAAGGGGTATATACATGACATGAGAAATTAAATTTGCCTTGATCTTTTGGAATGTAAGAGGTCTTTGTAACATTAAAACATCCTGCAAGTTTCATAGCTTAAAACGTTCTCCTCATTATAAACAAAGCATTTGTTTAATCAAGCTCCAAAAATGGCTCGTTTGGATCTGAGGTGCATGATGACATCACGGCGCAAACATTTGCATAAACACGCCTCCAGAGCAAGACATCGACGAATAGTCAGCCCCGCCCACTGGCGTTCAGTCGCTAACGGCTGACACTTGATTATACTGAATGAGAGAGTTGGGTCGCGTCAAAAGCAAATAGAAATCACAATCACTGCCGCCATGTTGTCTACACTGAATACAGATGCGCTCCAGTCTGTCATCAAAAGGACAAATGCAATGAAAGAACATTAGCTTTGACGCGTTTGGTTTAAACAGCTCGTTTGCATCTTTGTTTGTACAGATATCAGAAGGATCCCAGCGTAAGGAACAAGTGGATAGTTATTTTTAATGGCTTCCCAGATCGTGTCTGAGTATTTTGTTTTGTAATCGAGGCACAGTGTCATGGAGAGTTCACAAAGAATCATTTGTTGATAGATGAAGCGTTACTAGATCTGAGTGCAGCTGCATCACAAACCGTAAGTAAATGATTTACTGGAAAATGTCTGGAAATTACCGTTTTTTTTTTTCATGTTGTCAAAACACTCACATGCAATACTGTTTCCTATGCAATGATGTTAGCCAATCATAACAGTGGCTGATTACTGACAAGCCTTAAAAGACACGCCCCTTAAAACAGGTAGTTTTAGACAGAGGGTCAGAACGAGGGTTGAAAATAATTTTTTTTTTTTTTGTGCAAAAAACTTTATTAACATTATAAGTAAACCTAAAGGGTTAAAATCCATGTCATGACCCCTTTAAACGGTTTATAGGTTTATGGAGAAAATGAGCAGGATTTGTATTTGGGATCCCGTCAGTGATTGGTCACCTGCTCCCGGCTAGCAGCAGCACTTTAGCACCGTCCAGACCTTTAGTCACCAGCTCCTTAACGACCTCCTCAATGATCGGAGAACCCATGAATGCATAGTCATCTGAACACAGACACACACGCACACACAGACACACACACACACACACACACACACACACGATGAATGTGAATGATGGACACTCTGTGTGTGAGTGTGAGTGTGTGTGTGTGTGTGTGTGTTTTACTCTGGTCTGTCTTCGCTGTGGAGCCGCTCCAAACATCACTGGAGCAGTACGGCACAAACCTGCACACACAGATTCACTCTTCATGAGAGAAACACCAAATAACACGGAATTCACTGTGAAATGCTGAAATAGAAAGTCTGAAGTAATATTTTTTCTTTGTAGCAAAATCTAACTTATCTGCAGTATAAAAACAGTAAACAGTATAGAAATGTAAAGATGCAGGTCATTTTCTGAGAGGGTTATGGGATATGAAATATTATTATCTGTGTATAAAGGTCATAATCGTACACTGTGTTTGCGTTCCACCAGTGTGGATTCTCCTCAGGCTGAGACGACAGGATCCCTGTTCCTGAAACACACATGGTTTTCATGTTTATAAGTTCTGACACTCAGAATACGGTATTTTTGGACATGCCTCCCTGTTGTTAGGATGCTCGGAGCGTTGCTAGGGTGTTGCTATGCAGTTGGCAAGATGTTGTAAGTGTTGCATAGTTGCTTAGTATGTGGTGCTTAGTGCTTTCTTGACATACTTAGGACATACTTATGAAATCCATTGCATAATTTTTTTTTTTTTTACCAAATCCTTTTTTCTTTTTTTTCAAAAGCATGTCTAATAAACTAAAATCATGAAACTTAGCTAATAATGTAATAACAATTTATTAAATGTTTTTAAAAAATGACATTTTTAGGGACTTGATTTTTCTCCATTTAAATTTTTTTTGTATTTCTGTTTTGTTTTTTTTCAAATTCATTTTTTTTTCTGAATTCCATTTTTTCCATTTGAAATTTTTTTTGGGATTCAGTTTTAATGTTAAATTACATTTTTCTCAAGGGTGTAGGTTTGATTTTGGCATTGGTGGACGTAACGGCAGACAACAGACATTTAATTGTTTGATCAAAATTATTGCTAGGGACAATTTAGTAGTGTCTGATATTGGTAGGATCATGTCACAGCGTCTCTACTTAATTCTACACCCTTGAAAATCATAACAAGCGATGTCCGACTTTGATAACTATAGTTCTCTCCTTAAATATGAAGAGGTCAAACAACAGATGGTTGTTACTATAGTTAAACCAGGGTAACCACAAATTGACCATGCTTTTGCTACACTAAACATAGTGCAAATACAAATGACAAATACAAATGACCTGCTCTTATCATCTGATCGTGGTTGTATCTCTCTATTAGTGCTACTGGATCTTAGCGCTGCTTTCGACACTATTGACCACAGCATTGTTTTGAATAGACTAGAAAACTTTGTTGGCATTAGTGGAAGTGCATTAGCATGGTTCAAATCTAAAAAAAAAAAAAAAAACTTATCTGACCGC